GTTTCTGAGGGATACCTATACAAAATTGGAAATTTATGTATTCCTCAAGGATCCATCTGAAAGCTTCTTGTCAGAGAAAGTCATGAGGGAGGTCTCATCAGCCATTTTGGAGTTGATAAAACTCTAATTTTTCTAAAGAATAAATTTTATTAGCCTCACATGAGAGTGGATGTCCAAAGGTTTTGCTCTAGATGCATAGCTTGTTTACAAGCTAAATATAAAGTAATGTCTCATGGATTATACATACCCCTCCCAATAGCTAACACCCCTTGGGTTGATATCAGTATGGATTTTGTGCTTGGACTTCCAAGAATCCAAAGGGGATATGATTCTATCTTTGTGTTTGTAGACCATTTTAGCAAGATGGTTCACTTTATTCCCTACCATAAAGTAGATGATGCTAGTGATAAACTGAGGTTGTAAATAGGTCCCTGTCCACATTGTTAATGGTTATTTTAAAAGACAATAAGAAGTCTTGGGATGAACATCTTCCTCATATAGAGTTTGTCTATAATCAGGTAGTCCACAAAACTACTAATTTTTCTCCTTTTTGAGGTTGTCTATGACCTTAACCCTCTTACCCCTTTTGATTTACTATCGCTTCTGGATACTAACTACTATTTTCATAAAAAAGGAGTATCCTGAATAGATTTTGTTAAAAGGTACCATGAGAAGGTTAAAGAACATATTGAAAAACAAACTCAAAAATATACTACATATAACAACAAAGGGAGAAAGAAAATTTCTATTGAGGAAGGGGACTGGGTTTGGTTACACTTAAGAAAAGAAAGATTTCCTGCTCAGAGAAAATCAAAACTCAATCCTAGAGGAGATGACCCATTCCAAGTCCTCCAAAAGATTAATGACAATGTATTTAGATTAGACCTGTCATCCGAATATGGAGTCAGCCCTACATTTAACATATGTGATTTAACACCTTTTGTAGGATTTGATAGTGACCACAAGGTCATATTGGGTCTATCACTAGGGCCATGGCCCGAAGGATAGAGGAGAATGAGGCAGCACCACGAATACTCCTCTTATGGAAATTAAATTGAACCCCTCAAAATAAACATGTATTGAATAAATCCTTCTATTTCTTTTGTAGGGTCCCAAAGATGCACATACAAGCCAAGACGCACACCAAGCCCATGGAGCACATCAAACCAAGACCAACTGAGTCCTAGGAACACACCAAGGACGCCATACGACCAAGCTCTCCTCTTTGTCATATTAGATGCACCTCAAAGAAGCTTTGGAGTATATAAACACTTGAGGACCAAGCTCATAGTCAAGACCCATTCACACGGTCAAGGCTGCACCAACACAAGTGCTTGTAACCCATTGTGTTCAATATGGTATATAAACTCTGAGGGAGGCATAGAAAGAAGAATGTGGGACTTCTAGAGTCCATTTTTGGTACCTCACATAAGAGTAGAATAAGTCCCACATCTCTAAATACTTGAAGTGGATGAGAGGGGAAACACTATAAATATAACCCCTTGTGTAGCTTCTTTGGCACATTTGAATGAAATTCAAGCTTAGTGTGTGGACCTTGCAGTTTTGCTTGTACCCCATTTTGGCTTGACTTCAAGTGTCCTTTGGAGATTTTCTTCTCCTTGTCTCCTAAACAAGGAACCTTCCTTGGAGGATCTAATTCCATGTCTTCTTTTAAAACTTAGGGAATAATTTTCAGTCACTTGAGAGCTTGAGGTGCGGACTTGGGCATCTCTTTGGTGGAAGGAGCATATTATTTCCATCACATCCTTTTGAGTGAAACCTTTGGCAACTAATCTAACTTTATACCTTTTAATATTGCCTTTTGAGTCATGTTGGATCTTAAATACCCCTTTACAACCGAATCTTTTTAAATCTTTAGGCAATTCAACTAGATCCCATACTTAATTTCCATCCACTGATTTCAACACTTCTTTCATAGCATTCAACCACTTTTCTAAATTTTCATTTTCATGGCTTGTTTAATTGAGACTAGATCATCATCAACACTAAATTTACATTCATGATCAAGTGAATATACAATAAAATTAGTTGAAATAGTTGGTCTTCTTTGCCTTTCAGACCTTTTTGGTATTATTTCATGTGCCTCTTCTATCACTTGTTTATTAATGACTTGTACATTGTTTGTTAGTTCATCAACCATATGCTCATCTTGTGGGTTTTGGACATTGTTTTGTTGTCTCTTGTGTAATTTGACCATAACATAACTAGAGGAACATGATCCTTACAAGAAGCATTAGGTGAAGGAGATTCACCATGAGTTTCTACAATATCCACCTTCCGTGATTTCTCACTCCCACTAGCTTGGTCAATTTCAAATAACCGAGCATTATTAGACTCAACTATTCTTGTACAATGGTTAGGATAGTAGAATCTATATCCTTTAGAATTTTTAGGATAGTCAATGAAGAAACCACTAACAGTTCTTGCATCAAGCTTCTTTTCATGTGGATTATACACTCTTACTTATGTTCGACAACCCCAAATATGGAGATTTTTTAAACTGAGTTTTCTTCCTATCCACAATTCATGAGTTTTAGAAACTGCCTTACTAGGAACCTTGTTAAGCATATATACAATAGTCTTTAAGGCATGCATCCACAAATATAAAGGTACAATACTATAAATTAGAAGAGACCTAACCATATCCATTAAAGTACGGTTTCTCCTTTTTGTTGAGGTGTGCCAGGCATAGTATATTGTGCACATCTACCTCTACTTTTAAGGAACTTTGCAAATGGACTTGAACATTGTCCACTCTTAGGAACACCTTTAAGATGTCCACTGATTGAGATTTTTTATACGGAATATATAAATAACAATAATGTGAAAAATCATTTATAAATAAAATACTTTCCACCACTCCAAGATGGAATGTTAAAGGACCCACAAATATCAGTGTGTATTAATCCTAAAAGTTTATTGCCTCTCATAGTAGAATTCTTGGATATTTGTTTAGTTTGATTTCCTTTAATACAATAAAAACATACATCCTAGTCACCAAAATCTAATTTAGGTAAAATATTATTTTTCATTAATCTCGTTATTCTTTCCTTGGATATGTGACCTAATATTTTATTTCTCAAATAAGCAGAACTATTATCATGCACATCATGCTTACTACCAAATAACATAGTCAACATTAAGCAAGGATTCCATAAACTTAACATCAAGATTGAAACAATATAAACCATCAATTAAAGTACCAGACCCATTACCACTACTAGAAAAATGGTTAATAGTGACCGAAATTAGTGATCGAAAAATTCAATCACTGATAGTAACTGAATCAGTGACTGATTTCCCTTTTTATATTTAGTGACTGATTTAGTGACTAAAATTTTAGACATAAAAATCGGTCACTGATTCGGTCACTACTAGAAAAATGGTTAATAGTGACTGAAATTAGTGATCGAAAAATTCAGTTAGTAATAATAACTGAATTAGTGACTCGATTTCTCTCTTTATATTTAGTAACTCGATTTAGTGACTAAAATTTCAGTCACTAAACAAATAATCTCTACATTGATGATTATTTTTCATTTATATAAATATTTTTTAAATATTTTTTTAATATATTAAATATAAATCTATTTAATAAGTTAAAATAATTGATAACATTTTTAATAACATTAAAAAAATTTTAAAAAATATTTTACTAACTTATTAAATAATTTGGTAATATAATTATTTGATTTTATTTTTTAATTTAGCATGTGAATAAAAAAATTAAAATTGATTATTAAATTAGTCACTAAATCGGTCACTAATTCAAGTCATTGAATCAATCATTAAATTAATTATTAATTTAGTCTCTTTTATATATATATATATATATATTACTTTATATATATATATATATATATATATATATATATATATTACTTGTATGTTAATAAAAATGTATTTTAATATATTTATAAAAAATTAAAATAATTTTAATTACTGAATTGATATTTCAATTTTATATTAATATCTTGAATAATTTAATAATTGGATAAATATTTTAAGTTTATATTAGTCATTTTTATATAAAAGTGTAAAGATGAAGTGAATTTATTTTAAAATTTAATTAAACATAATAATATAATATTGTATTAATAAAAAATATGTGAATATTTAGTTAAAAATTAATTTTAAGTTTTATTATTTTAATTTGAAAAAAATCATTAAAAAATTCAAAATAATTAATTAAAGTAAAGAATTTCAATTTAATAAATGTGTTAATATTATGAGTTATTGGAGAATTAAATTTATAATAATAATTATATAAAATTGTAGAATTAATAAAATTTAAATTATTGATAATTTTTTTAATTATTAAGCTAAAATTTGATAATATTAATAAATTAAAATTAAAAAAATAAATTTATATATATTGCTTTAATTATTTTAATTAAAATTAATTTCATGAAAAAATTAATATGTGAAAATAAAAATGTGAAAAAATATTTTTTTTTCTTTTATTTAATTATATTTTTTCATTTTTATTTTTTTGACTTTACCTATGACAATAACTTAGTTATTTTAATTTTAGTTTAACGTGAAAATCTCATCTTTCATCTCACCACAAATTGAATTCTCTCAAATCATCACACTAGTTAACCACTGTACATCCATTCTTCACTGTCCAACCATCTTTATTGACCAACCACCCAACTACTCCTACCACACCACATTATCACACCCATCCCATTTCCAATTAATCCATTCTCCTACAATATTTTTACACCTAAAAAAAGAAAAATAATAAAATTTTCTTTTATTAATATTTTTATAAAATAAAAAATATATATAATAATTACTTTTATTTATAAAAAAAGAGTTTTTAAGATCTAACCGTGACGAAGTGATCTAATTTTAACCTAAATTTTGGTTTATAACCCGTAGAGACCAAGGGGGCGCTCTTTTCTTTTCCCATTTTGCTTTTCAACCCGTACCCTCCTGCATCGCAACTCCACCCTTCACTTCCCATTTTCCAGTTACCTCACCCTATCATTGCGCACCTCCACTTCACCCTCCCCATTCACCATCAACATCAGCTTTCCCCATATTTTTTGCAAACCGGTTCGACCACCGCGAGCTAGCCGCCCACTCTCCTTCCCTTTCCCCTATAACCCGTGGCCTTCACCTAGCCGCCCATACAAAAAAAAATTCAGATTTCGCAACAACTCGTCTTCACTCTATTTTCTCGTTCCCGCTCTAAAAAAAAATTAACCGTGCGCCACCCTTCAAATTCCCACTCATTGTCCCACTATTTTTTCTTAGGAAAAAAGCGTGGCCAGAAAACATTGGAGAGAAAGGACCGTTCCTTCAGTTCAGTTTAATTCTACGACCAACCGCACGGGATGGTGGACGGCGGCCATTTTGCGGGCACCATTTGCTCGATCTGCCACGAGCCTCTCAACCCTATTAGCGAGGACCTCCAATCGGTCTCCATCTGCGGCCACGTCTTTCACGAGCTTTGGTAAATCCCTTTTACTCTTGCGTCTTTTATTTGTTGGTCGGTCGACGCAAACGCCAGAAAGTTCCGTTCTTTGCCTTCATTTTGATTTGGGTGTGTTTTTTTGCAGTTTGCAGCAATGGTTTGAGTACTGCTCGAAAGGAAAGAAATGCATTTTCTCGATTTGCAAGCAGAGTTGTAGGGCAAGCGACGCGTGCAGGCTTTATTTTCAGCTAGTGGGGGATGCCAACGATGGTGGGAAGCTTCAGAAGCGCTTTGAAAGTTTCGGGGCTTAATTCTGAGCTGGAACGACAAACAAATGAATTGGAAGGAGTTAAGGAGGAGATTAAGAAGGGGATTAGCGGATATTTTTGTGAATAATATTTCCAAAAATTTGTTCTTTAGCCGAATATAATGATGTTGTGTGATTCATGGACCGGATCTCACATAGTTATGTTTAGATTAATTTGTGGGGTAAATGAGATGCATTAAGCTGAGGTGAGAGTGGGTGACACTTGATGTTCACAAGGGGGATAGGAGTCATAGGAAGACCAATAAAGACATTGAAGGAAGTTGTTAAGAGAAATCTTGGATAATATTCTTGTGAATTTAGTCTAGAAGAGAATTCATATTTTATTATAGCTCAATGAACATCTGCACATGTATTTATATTTGTTACGATTGGTGAAGTAGAAAGAAACTGGAGATTCGTGCTTTTTTGTGTGACCTGCTACTTTAAGCTGTAAAAGTTAAGAAAACCCCAATATGTTGATGATGAGGCATTCAGAATGATAGAGGAATGAGTGGCTTAGAGTAAATGAATTTAATCTAGCTCCATGTACTATATTTTGATGCAAAATGCAACTTTGCAATAATATCAATTATTAGTAAAGTTGCTTCGAACACAAAATCCTTGTGATGTGTGGGGTAATTTTGTGAAAAATGTTTAGTTAATGTTATTGATTTTTGTGGCTCTCCCTTCAGCTTTATATTTGCAAGGAGCAGGCAAAGATAGAAATAGCATTAAAGAATGAGTCTTTAAATCAAAAAGCATCCATACAATTCCAGTTTCATAAGAAATCAGAGGTGAATTGCTCTGTAGCTTTCTGCTATATTTGTGACAATTTAACTATTTACAGCTTGAATTAACTTGTGGAGATTTATATTGATTTAGGAGCTTGAGAAGTCAACTTTGGAGTCTTTTAGATTAAAAGAAAAGAATATGGCTTTGGCTAAAGAACTTGCAACATTAAAATTGTGAGTGGAGCTTCATTTTGATTGAGTAACCATATCTTGTTTTTGATATAATATTTATATGTTCTTTTACTTCTTGCTAAGTTGGTTTATGGCCTGTACCGTAGAGTGACTGATCTGGACATTGATGAAGAGGAGGTTTTGAAGCTTGCCACTTTTGGTAATGGGGCCAACAGTAAAGACACAGTAGATACATTGAAAAAATCTTTGGTCATGCGGAACAGGTTTATCCTACAAATAGTTTTCTAGTGTTGGATTTCCTCAAATTTGAGACCATTAAACATATATTTTTTGCACTTTTAGTTGGGATACTATTCACTATATTATAGGCACAAAATACATGTTTTTCCCTTAAATTTGTGCCTGGTTTACTAAAACTATTATGGTTTGCTTGAAATGTAAATTGGAATTGCTCATATTCTGATAGGAGTTATAAAGAATTGATGGCCAAGTGCAATGTTCTTGGAAGAGGTGAGGCCCGTTATAGCAAAAAACTTGATAAGGCTAAAGAGAAGATCGCTAAACTGAAGGTATGTACATTATGAGCTTGCTAGTGCTAATCTCATAAATAAGTAGAATTTTTAAATGAGTATTAACTTGTAGAGTTTTCTGAGCATTTTTAGGCAAGGGTACAAGAACTGGAGACATTAGCTGAAGCAAAATAGAATGAATATTTGATGTCTCTGGAACTTTCAAAAAGCACAATGAGTTCAAAGAATCATGAGAGTAACTTCAACTCTGATTCTGATGCATTGACATCTTGTAAATTTTCATTGAAAGAACACAGCAAACAAATCTCAACACCCAAATCTGGAATAAAGCTGGCTGCAAATGACAACAGTAAATCTTTTCATTCTTTGAAGATAGAGAACTCCAGTGCTATACTACAAATAAGTTTGTGCATATTACTCATAGAACTCCTGATAAAAAGAGAGACTACATCACAATTGATGAAGATGATTTAGAAGGCACTAATGCTTTGCAAGGATGTTCACAACAAAACTACAAAGATCGAGATAGGGATAATATTGCTTTTAGCAAGCCTTCTCTAGCGAAGCTAGGGACCATGTCTACCACAAAGACCGAAACATTATTGCAAGGAAAATGTACTTTGGCCGAGTCTCCCAGAGTTGATATTGACATTGACATTTCTAACATTTTAGCTGGTCCTATGGATGAAGATGTACTTTACAAACCACCATTAAACATAAACAACCTGTGGTGAACATTAGAAAGGAATCACCATTTACAATTTCAAATTCAGGTATGGTGCAATTTAATTTTTGAAGATATTTTTTTTAATAAAAGAATAAGATACTGTTGATGATTTACTCTACAAAACTTAAATGCTGGAAATTTCTTCTTTCCCCATCCTAAGGTCCAGAGAATATATGCTTTTCTAGTGGTTTGCTTGGTCCTGATGAAACTCATCAGTTTTTGGGAAAATGGTGCAAGCGTGGACAGAACAGTGAATCATCATCTGCAAAAAGATCAAGTAATGGGGATTTAATAGCTGTTGGGGCTGATGGTAGAGGTGGCAGAATAAAAGTTCTAAGGACAACTACCCAAATCCTCTCGGAGAGTTTTCTATAGTGTTTAAATTTGATGGTAAGTGTGAATTCTGTTGAGCTATAAATGTTTTCAACGATGGCTCGATCGTTTGTAAAGCAACAAATATTGTTATTTGTTACAAGTTTCTATAAGCAATAGATATTTGGTGATTAAGTGTAAATTTGTTTGAGCTAAAAAAATAAAAAATAAAATTAGTGACCGATATAGTGATTGATTCAGTTAGTTATAAAATTGGTCATAAAATTGGTCACTAATTCGGTTATTGATTCGGTCACTGAATCGGTCATTGATTCGGTCCCTGAATCGGTCACTAAATCGATTATTGATTCGGTCATTGAATCGGTTACTGATTCAGTCACTGAATTGGTCATTGAAATCAGCAATCAAGGGAAAAAGTGACCGATTTGAGTTGGTTACTATTTCGGTCACTATTTTAGTTAGTGACCGATTTTGGTCATTTAGTGACTGAAAATTCGGTTATTATTTGATGTTTTTGTTGTAGTATACAACACATGTCTTTAAACAAATAAAAAACATTGTGTCCAATATTGAAATGAAATCCTAAGTCATCCAACTTTGCAACAAAAACTAAATTTCTAGCACATCTAGATAGAGACATTATTCCAAATCTATATGGCGTCCAGTATCTAAGATAAATCTATATGTCCCAATGCTCTCTATCCTTGCTTCCATTTTGTTTCCTATATAGGGAAATTTTTTATTTCTTTTATGGTTTGGATCGAAATGAATCCCTGTAAAACATGTGACACCTGAGTAGTTGTACCAGAATCAAGCCACCAAGTATTATTAGGTACTTCAACAAGATTTGATTCAAAATTTACATATATATAAAATATATCTTTCTTTTCAAACAATTTCTTCCTTTTGGGAAATCCTTCTTGAAGTGACTTTTCTGATTACAAAAGTAACACTTCTTATCCTTATGGATTTTACCTTCATTGGCCTTCAATTAGGTCTTGTCCTTATCCTTTCTACCTAACTTGCTCTTACTACCACTGGTTCCATAATGAGTCATGAGATTAACAGATTCGTCCTTCATATTTTTTTACTCTCCTTTCCTCCTAAACTAACATGATCTTAACTTCTTGAAAGTTCCAATTTTCTTTAAGGGTGTTATGATTAACTTGGAACTGGCCAAATTCAGTAGGAAGAGACTTCAACCTTGTTGTCAGATTAGACATTTCAGTCTCATGATCATGAATTAATTGAGACCAATCAAACCTTTTGTTTGTAAGATCACTTGTTAGATTTCCCGTAATCGACTTGTCAGTAATGTCAAATTGCATAAATCCTTAACCAATTTCATGAATTTCTTAACATTATCAGTTTTGGCATAGATGGCTTGACATTTTCAGCCATAATCAGTCTCATCAAGTTTAATGTCAATCTGTTAGATTGCTCTCAAGCATCATTAAGAGACCTCTTAACTTCTGTACTGGTCTTAGTAATGGATGAAGGTTTTTCATCCATTATCAATACAAGGACTAAACCATAACACCTAGTTGAAATCGAATAATTTTGGACCAATCAACATAATTTAAACCATTGAACTTGATCAAATAGTTGCCCAATAGAATCATGTTAGACATAGCTACACACATTTAAACAAACCCACCCATCAACATTATGAAATCAATATTATGAAAACTTAATGGATTCAAAATATATAAACTTTAATCATGTATCTACTTTACTTTGGTAAAATGAATACACACAATTTCCATAACTTAATTTTAGTGGACAATAAAATATATCATTCTTGACATGTATGACATCTTTGGATAAACATACACTAAATACAAATGAAAATAAATTATTTATATTATTAGCTATAAGCAATGGTTCACCTTTGGGTCATCTAGAAATGTCTTATAATAATAAATTTCAATTAACCCATAAACCAAATAATATATACATAATTTAATATCTTTTATTTTAAGGGTAATTGACATAATTCAACTTTACTTTGGAATTAATTAAAGCTTAAAATTTGATCACTTTGGTGATTACAAATTTACCATACAATTAATCCCCGAATTTCAATTTGAATTGTAACTTACCATTTTCAAAAATAAAATCCCTAAATTTCATAATTTTAAATTAGGGTTTCTATAATTTGGGGAAAACATCATTTACAAAGAATCATAAACCTCTAATCTAGCTCTAATACTAACTTGAAGTTTTAAATATTCTAATTCAATTCAAGAAACTATTCTATTTCATAGAACCTTAAGATCTATGATTCTCACAAATTTATTGTTAGAAGTATTCAAGAATGTCTTATATTATTCAAAAACGAAACTTTTTAATCTTTTACACAAAAAACTATAATGTAACTTCTAGATGGTATTTTAAAAGATTTGTTAAAATACTCTTAATGAAGTGAGAAGAGATAGAATTAATTTTAATAACTCTAAAATAATTCTTATAACTTTAATATATTTATAATTTAATAATCATCACTTTATAAACCTTGTCAATATTAGATTAAAATAATATAAGAAACCTTTGCACTAAAATAGAAAGTAAATGTTATCTTTCTCCTTAGGGATATAATAACAGTTTATTGAGAAAGAAACGTTTGCATTGAAATAAAAATTAAAGGTTTTACCTTTTGGCTATGGGAAATGCATACACCCCACGGTCTTTGATTTAATTTTATATGGGTTTAGTTTAAATTGTTTTGGATTTAGTGGCTAATTTTATTTTCAAATGCATTTTGAATCCAAAAGTTTGACTTTTTCCAGATGAGAAGTTATTTTTTTTACTGTGACTAGAGCTTTAAACAATTGGGTCGTGATTAAAAAAAGCTTGAATTTTTTAGTGAAATTGATTAAAAAAATTCAAATTTTATTGAGAATGGGAAAATAGACAGTAAGTATTTATGTAAGTATATAAATGTAGAAACTTTCTTTTCTATCTTGTAGCTAGGTTGATGGGAATTACACAAAATTGTTACGAACAAAAGATGGAAGTAGCCATTAAATAAAATAGATAAAACTTGAGTGACTCATAATTGATGTTTGTTTGTTTAGAATTCTAGTTATTTCTATACTAAAATTTTGTTTTGACATTTAAAAGCTTTCTAAATATGAAGCATTTAATTTATGTTTTATTGAAGATGTTGAATTTTCTTAGTTTGTCCATGATCTGGTAATATGTTGATTTTTTATATTATTTTGTAATAACAATTTTTTTTATAATAAAAAAAAAACTGTGTCGGTCAAGCTGCCACTAAGTCATCTACGGTTTTATGTTTTTCAAGTCAATTAACGGACGTAAAATTAAAAATTTATTATGAGTATAGTGTTGGTTTCTACAAACGGGGGAGAATGACTTCACGCAGGAAAGTTCGATTTGATAAAAGTAATGACTAACCATAAAGGTGTACCCATCAAAAGCATATGGTTCAAGAAGTTTTTTCTAGGTGAATTTTGAATATTACGTGATGAATAGTTTATATAAATATTAACAGATAACACTTAAATCTATAAATATAGGAATAATTTAATTAATTCATATGAAAAAATTAATAATTATTCAAACATTGATAATTAAATATAAATAGTTTGATAACTATCATGAAAAATATATTTTATCCATTAATATATTTTAAATAATTGATTATAACGCTTTAGGTTAGATGTTATAACATGAAAAAGGAAAATAAAAAAATATTATAAAAATAGTATGAATTAATTAAACTTACTAACTAACGTTGACTATATATCAATACATTTAAAACATTTGATTAAAGTTAATATATAACGTTATAAAATAAAATAAAATAAAAAAGATTTGGATTATTTTAAGCTGTATATAAGTAATGGTATGCTAAGAATGTTTCTGAGAAGTTGATAAAAGTGAAAAGAAAGAAGCATAGATAAGAAAGATAAGATGGGAGAGAAGAAAGTGTTGGGTGTTGTGATGGTGTTTTTGGCTTATGGTTTGGCTACAACAACAGTGAGTGAAGCCCAACTGCCTGCAACATGCAATCCATATCAACCATTAATTTCCCCATGTGTGCCTTACTTGGTGAATCCAGATTTCGGGCCACTAACTCCCAATTGCTGTACTGGAGCAGCTCAGGTGTTTGGAAGAGTCAACAACAATCCTCAAGCCATCAAAAGTCTTTGTAGTTGTCTGGTTGCTACTATCCCTAATTTAGGGTTTTTTCCTCACAAATTGATACAACTCCCCGCAGCTTGCAAGATTAATCTTTCCTTCTCCATGAATCATTGCATAAATGGTTAGATCAATTATTCAATACCTCAAAACATACATTCAAACTTCAATCTGTATGTATTAATCTAAAACAAATAAATATTATGGAAGCAAATATCAATTATACCATGCTTATTATTGTCGATCACATCATCATCATATATTGACATAATTTTGTACGGATTTATATGGATGGATTCAATCGAGATTATATTGTTTAATATTTAAATAATTAAACAGTTTAATATTTTAAAAATATATTTAATTCATGGAATAATTAAATAATTTATATAATAATTATATTATTATTATTAATTTTATTGACAATTTTGATTGGATTAAATTTAATTAAATATTTTATTTTCTATTTCTCCATATTTTTTTATATTCCTTATTCATTTAAAATAATAATATTTTATTAATAAATAGGTTTGGACAAATTCTTTTCGGACATTTTTTGAATTAAACAATATTATTCCATTTAATTTTGACTTTTTAAAATAAATATGAAAGTCTCTAATTTGCTTTTATAACATTCATTAATTGTAACATTCATTAAGAATAATGTAACGTTCTTTTTAGTTTTTTTTATCACATTATTAACTATATTTTAAGAGAGTACTACTTTCTATTAAGTTTTGACAAAATTAAGATATGAGATAAATATTTATACATTTATATGTACAAAGATGTGAGCTTTACAAGTTTTATTATTTTTATATAAGAAACAATTATTAAAATTTACACACAAAAATTATTTTAACCGTAGTTGAATGATACATGTCTTCCATTTATTTATGTTGATATTTTAGTTGTAACATGCACAAGCATAAGGAAGTGAGAACAATTATCATTTAAAATAATACCATCTTATAATGATAAATAAAATATATTTTTCAACTTACTCAACTTATTTAATTTATTTCATTATTTATGAATATTTAAATTAAATTTGTAGTGACTAGTCAGGATAAATGAGTCCAATTTTAATCACTCTCTCAATGATATTTACTCATTTCAATCCTCAAGGTCCAACCTCCATCTACAATATCATCAAATCTTCATAAATAGATATTATTATTTAAAAATAATTAAATAATATAAATATAAATTAATAAATAGGACCGAGTACATAATTGGAGATAAAATAAACAAACAGGATCAGTACGTAACTGGAGATAAAATAAACAAACATGATTAGTACGTAACTGGACACAAATAAATAAGGTTAGTGCGTAACTGGAGGCATAAAGTAGGACTAGTACGTAACTGAAGATAATTAAAATAAAATTAATGTATAACTAGAGATAAATAAATAAACTTAAAGCAAATCAGTAAGTAGTTGAAGAAAAATAAATAAGTAACAAAATAAATAGAATGAGGTTAGGGACACCTCACTCCACAATTATAAAATAGATAAAATGATAATAGTCTTCTCCCCTACCTTAATAATGGAAGATGTTGGACAAAAAAATTTCCTTTAAAATTATTTTTCTTTCTTCCTCCCTCTCTCTTTCTCTTTCTCTCCCTCTCTCTCTCTCCCCTTCCTCTTCCTTTCTTCTTTTTTTCTTTCCCTCTCTTTCCCTTTCTTCTGATAAGATCATTATCTCTTAAAGAGATAAGATCATGTGTTTTTTTTTCAATAATCAATTTTATTCTATAATAATTAATTAACAAACTTGATTTTAATAATTAATAAATATATTAATTACATGATCCATTTTGAGATGTTACATTTCCCCCACACTTACAGAAATTTCGTCCTCGAAATTTTTAGTGACTAAAACATATGGGGGTAACTTTCTTTGATTCTCTTTTCTAATTCCTACGTAGCATCTCCAATAAGTTTATTCCAAACAACCTTCACTAATGGAATTTTTCTTCCCCTCAGTTGCTTGATCTTCATATTTGTAATCTGTACAAACATTGTTTTAAATGTAAGGTTATCCTTTAATTGTATTGTATCTGACATTATTACATGAGAAGGATCAGAAATATATTTTCTTAACTGAGACACATGAAACATGTTATGAAGATTAGAAAGGAAAGGGGATAAGGAAATTTGGTAAGCAACAAGACCTATTTTTCTAAGAATTTGATAGGGACCAATAAATCGAGGAGTGAGTTTCTTTGCTTTCATTATTCTACCAACTCTCGTTGTCGGTGTTACTTTCAAGAATACATACTCACCTTCTTGGAATTCAAGGGGTCATTTTCTCTTGTCAGCATAACCTTTCTGTCGACTTTGAGTTGTTCTTAATTTTTCCCGAATCATCTTAATTTTCTCTATGGTTTGTTGAATCATGTTAGTCTTAAACCAACATAAAAGTGTTCTGCATTTTCTCCCATACAATGCCTCATAGGGTGTCATACCTATGCTAGAATGAAAATTGTTGTTGTAAGTGAATTCAATTAATGACAAGTACAAATCCCAACTACTAGAATCCTCTAACACATGCGCTCTTAACAAATCTTCCAAAGATTGAATGGTTCTTTCTTATTGTCCATCAGTTTGAGGATGATAAGTTGAGCTAAGATGAAGCTTAGTCCCTAAGGCTTGATGTAAGCTTCCCCATAATTTAGAAGTAAACATAGGATCCCTATAAAAAATAATACTAGATGGAACTCCATGTAACCTCACAATTTCATTTATGTACAGTTCAGTCAGTTTTCCAATTAATACCTAATGTTAATGGGTAGAAAGTGAGAAGACTTTGTCAACCTATCCATGATAACCCATATGGAATCAAAATTTTGAATTATTCGTGGTAAGCCAACTATAAAGTTCATTGCAATACTATCTCATTTCCATTCAGGTATATCTAAAGATTGTAGCATTCCTGCAGGCCTTTGATGTTTTATCTTAGATTTTTGACAAACTAAGCATGATGCTACATATTGTGCCACTTGCTTCTTCATTTTAGGCCACCAAAATATTTTCTTAAGATCTTGATACATATTTGTTGTGCCTGGTGTAACTCCCTTCCAGATTACATTTATAAATCCTAATTTCTTATCTAATTTAGTCATATATCAAAGTAATAGAAAATTTTAATAGAAGTTCTTCATAAAGTCATACTTATTTATTATACAATTCCCAACCTATGCTCTGAATTTTTTTCATCTGACATCTATCTCTTGAATTCTACATTCCTGCATCACACGTCACAAACATCTAGGATTGAAAATATTTATGAGGTTAGACATTTAATTTTACCCACAACAAACAAAGCAAACATTTATACAATAAAATCAAACAATGAAACATTCCTTTATAATAAGTTCATAACAACATATAAATATACAACCATATATAATTTAATTCAAAAATTAATTATGAGAAACACAAAAATCAATCATGGAAACATAATAAAGAATATCATACAAATCATGAATAATCTACAATTTCATCATGCAATATGTTTATGATATGTACATGTGACTCAAAACGTAAAACTTGAAAATCATGTTTTTGACTCAAAATCTAAAAAAATCATTTTTTACTCAGTGCTCCATGGAGACTCATATGAGTGTCTAGTGGAACTAGAGCTTAACATCATCCTATCCGGTGATTCGACAGTGCCCCACTAAATGCAAACATGTAGACAGTAGTAGGAGTGTCAGTGCACCTGACAGGCTACCACAACAAACAATCAAACACTAACCTCAAATTCGAACATTTATAGAGTTGTTTTCCTAGTAGACAAAGAGGTAGTACTGGGTTGTTTAACCTTTTTCCAAAAATCCATTTATGTCCCTAGGATGTAAAATGGCTATTTTGCCCTTGAACATTTCCTATTATTCCATCCATGTCTTGAAATGACTATTTTACCCTTGAACATTTTCTATTATTTCATCCATGTCCTAAAAATGACTATTTTACCCTTGAACATTTTCTATTATTCCATCCATGTCCTAAAAATGACTATTTTACCCTTGAACATTTCCTATTATTCCATCCATGTCCTGAAAATGACTATGTTACCCTTGAACATTTTTTATAATTCGTTGCATGTCCCAAAAATGACTATTTTACCCTTGAACATTATCTATAATTCCTTCCATGTCCCTAAAATGACTATTTTACCCTTAAACATTTCTATAATTCCTTCCATGCCCCTAAAATAACTATTTTACCCTTGAACATTTTCTATAATTCCTTCTATGTCCCTAAAATGACTATTTTGCCCTTGTTCTTTTTCAAAATTTCCCACCGTATCCCTTTCTTCAATCTCACGTCTAGGAAGCCATGGCAAACATCCAGATTTTCAAGTTTCAAGTTTCACGCAACCAAACTAGTTCCAAATTGAAATTAAACATGAAATATGTTTAATTTAAGTTAAAAACAACAATTTTACTATATAATGCATCCTGAATTTCAAGAATTTCATCAACATTTCAAACTTTCAAAACAATGAACAGTAATCAAAATCAGACATTTCAATCTTAAGCGTATGAATAAAATTAAACATCTAACCGATACCTATTTCTCCAAGATTTGCTAGTATTCCACTTATTTATTTCTCAGTTCCTTCCTTTTCTTCTTCTTCTTTCAAATTCCGCTTCTCAGAATCTGGTGCTTCTCTGTTTGGCCATGAATTAGTTGTCCAATTTCATCCTATTTATAGACTTAACTTACCGACCTAAATTCCTTCTCGACTTTTCTTCATCGCCTTAATTCAACCGCATTAATTGCAATTGTATATTAAGGCCACAATACCTTCTCTTTCTCTCTTTTCATTTTTCGTAATAAGGATACTGTACATCATTATATATATATATATATATATATATATATATATATCCTTTCTTCTCATAAAAAGTTTACATAATATTTATATAATAATTTGTAGGAACTTAAGCAAATAATTAATTAC